GGTGGCGGCGTGCTCCCCGAGAGGAGAGCACCCGATTAATATACATATCGCGCGGAGCTCCGCGCGGTATTTCAGGCGGTGCTTGCTATCCGCGAGCTCAACCCCGTGGGCTTTGAATATCAACCAATTTCCTGCCGATATTTGTGTGACGAGCACCACTTCACCAGCGACCGCGCGTGAGTGCAATCGCTAATACGCCGCTCTTCACTTTCCTTCTTTTTCACGGAGAACCACAGATCCTCTGCCTCTTCTGCTCCGTCCATCTCGCTCCTTTCTCGTCTTTCTCTTGCTGGAGATTCGCTAAATGTGTACTTGGACTGGTGAACGATACTTTTGTCTCGTGTGTCGTGTCTAAATTATGTAGGAACGAAGATGAATGCAGAGTGTAGCTAGTTTCACTCGTTGATAAGCGATTGGGTAGTTTACTATTCTGAGACATTTTGGTCCATACTGTTCTTGGATATAACGAATCAGAGTATAATTTGAAACGTTTAGTTTTCCCAACGCAAAGGTTTTCTATCAGTTTTCTCAGAAATCGTTTTACCGATCTTAGACATTTATTATAATGCAATTCGTTCGTTTGCATTGTACGAATGTCGACTATGTATCGGATCCATTAAACCGATTGGGTAGATCTATCATTTTCTACCGTATCACTGACAACGAATGATATTTCATTTTCTTATTGCTGTTCGGAGACATTTTGTTTCGCACTGTTCCTGAATTTAACGATCCAGCGTTCAATTTGAAATTATTAATTTTCCCAAAAAACGTTTTCCCGATCTTAGACATTGTAAGTAATGTATTAACACGTTAAAATATCGACAGTATATTGACAATGGATTGATCAATTACCGCCGTGATATCAAAAGTCGATACTGTCCCCGTGTGATCGTCAACCACCACAGAAATCCTCGTGACAATCTCTTGTCTGCCTAAGAGTTCCGAATTGGTAACACACGGCACGTCCCTCACGGTCTTCTCCTGGCAGCGAACGTGTTAAGAAGATCTACATATCTAAATATCCAAACTTAACAACACCAAAATTCTCACAGGCAGCAATTTAGTCTATCAGCAGCAGCAGCAGTACGGAAACGGAACAAGAAACACCAGAGGCTCGCCATCGCCCAACAGACCAGCCAGCACCTCTTCCGCCGCCTCTCAATGGCAATCCACAGTGTCAGCTTCGAGCGAAGCTTTCTTCCCGCGACAGGAGAACTGGAGCTCGGATGTGTATGGAAAAAGAAGCGTAACGCCCACGTGGACCGAGTTAGGCGTGCAATTAGACGGCAGGAACTCGTCGTGGGAGAGACAGAGCAACTGTTACCAGAAGAAAGGCTCCCCGAGCTCGTGGAACGTGGACTACGCCGGCAAGAGGCCGCCTTCGACGACAGGAGTGTCTCCTTGGAGCGAGATGTCCGTTGGATACCAACAGCAACGCCGAGGATCCCTTCAGCTATGGCAATTCTTGGTCACCTTGCTGGACGATCCTGCAAACGCGCCTTGCATCGCTTGGACTGGTCGCGGAATGGAGTTCAAGCTGATCGAACCGGAAGAGGTAGACGATTGCACTCCCCGGCGAAGATTCGTGGATGATTAGGTAGAGAAGTAAGACGGTTTTATGGTTGTTCTACAGGTGGCTCGTAGATGGGGAGTTCAGAAGAATCGACCGGCGATGAACTACGATAAATTAAGCAGATCGTTGAGGTACTACTACGAGAAAGGAATAATGCAGAAGGTAGCTGGGGAGAGATACGTTTACAAGTTTGTCTGCGACCCGGAAGCGCTGTTCAACATGGCGTATGGATCTGGAGGATCGTCTAGCCTTCCCAGTGAAGTTCAAAATGGAGTCAGAAGTCAATCTATATCCGGGAAGATTTCCTCTTCCAACGATGCCTCTGATTTAGGGAAACATCCTAGCACTGGATACGGCGATGCTGTTCTTGCCATGTACTCTAATACTGCAGCAGGTGAGTACGTTGATCTGTAATAATTATTGGCTTAAGTGAAATTTGTTCAACTACATATATGTAGAATTTTTATTATCTGCGAGGGATTAAAATAAAAATCTTGCATTTTGGGGGCTCAGCCGGGATATCTCGGAAAACGCGCGAGAAACAGTTGTGATTATCGATTCGGAATTGTGTAGCGTCTTTATGTATGCCTATTCGTTATTCATTTCTTTATAGTTTCTGTTATTTTTCCCACAAATTAAGTATTTCGTTATTCTCCCTCGCAGATAATAAAAATCCTACATATGTGCTATTTTGTTCCGCTGTCTCGCTATCTTTGAGGCAGTTCCATGATTCCATCCTCCTTAAATTTGGCATCATTCTAGACGATGAACTGGTCCACGTTGTTTATTCCAACCCAATATTGTAATCCTCTGCTCTACGAAAATATTAAAAAAATGATTTATATTTTCAACACCGTATTATTAATGTTACTCACACTGTATAAAATCGAATTTTTGGGTAACAGTGTACGGACCATCAAGCCTGCACCATCTACACCAGTATCTAGGTGGTAACGAGGGCTTCAAGACTCCACCGAACAGATACCATCCCCATTATTCTCACGAATACAACAGCAGTCCCCATCATCCTCCATCCAGCTACGCAGAGACCTTCCTGAACTACGGTCGCTTGTCGTCCCACGACGCGTCCACCGAATCCAGAAGCCAGGAACTAGCGAGGATCCCGTACACGCAGGAAACAGAGGGTATCAGCAGAGAGAGAGAGGCGTCATCGATTTTGTACGACGGCGTGCAGAGAACGCAATTACCGGCCGCTCCTACTCTCTCTCAGCCCACCTTGCTAGACGCTACCACCACCAGCTCGAAGATCGAGCAAACTTCGTACGCCTGCCTCGGCGTAGGCAGCTGCGTCTGCTGAATCCCTCTCGTCTTTACCGGAAGACGAGAAATCATTCGAGGAAAGCTCTCTAGATCGTACAGCTGTGTTATATGACGCGTAAACGCGTACAGGTGTGTTAACGTGGAACGTGTGATCCGATAAACGAGACGACAGTTCGTCCATTCCGTCTGATTACATTTCGACAAATACGAATGTTCGGATTTCGGATGACACGTGCCATGAATCATGTAAATACTTCGAAACATTTCGACAAATACGAATGTTCGGATTTCGGATGACACGTGCCATGAATCATGTAAATACTTGGAAAAAAAAAAGATACGTACGATCCATCGGATCGAGGAAGAACCCTTGTAGCACGGGAGATGAAAGAAAATCGCTTGTGATCGTTGTTACACGCGCGAGTCCAAGTAGTACGTACACCAGGATCCTTGTAACTTCTGTAAATACCAAATAAATCTCTATCAGAACCGAGCGTCACAGTCGAATTTATCTGCCTACGTAATCGGGAAATATGCGCGTAAATTATCGGCGACTTTATTAAAAGCAAACACGAGGCGAAGTGAATTAACATAAGCGATTATGCGAGCTTGACCTAGACACACAATTCGGACGGCACTCCATGTACATCCTTCTTCCCGCGAGCGTATTAGCAGCCAGTGACGTAAACCCAAGACCGCGGACTGAGGTCGCCGGCGTATTTCGGGCTGTGACACATAGTAGATATGTTTATATCGACCCCTCTCTTTTCCGCTGACTAACAAGTAGCAGACCATCCTTGTTCCTACTCTGATGCCTTCTTGGTGAACGTCGAAGCCGGGTCCCCCGTAGATCGACCACTGTCAGTCGCGCGATCAACGTAGAGAAATCGAACGCGTTGATTTTCTTACAAGTCTCTGCGTAGCGATCTGTGTTCCTCGACCGAGAGTATCGGTTCCATTCAACGATAGTGTCATTGGCCCTATTCTGTTGGTAAATTCAACGAAAGTAGTGGGATTTTACGCGTAAACTTCTGGTAAGTATCTCCTAATGTGTGTTTCGTATCGTTTGCTATCTGTGTTATCTCGTATGAATCATTTCTGAAAATGTCACCGTATCGATCTTGGTTTTTGCGTCGAAAAGACACATTCTACGCTTAAAATACGCAACTTTCTGTCTGGCTTGTATCGATTCTTGTACAATCCAGAAGTATCCAGAAAGTACGTCAACGATAAAACTGACATGCTGGCGTCACACGTTCATCGTGTCTCTCCTCCTCGGTTTGCCGCTTCTGGTGATTGGCCGCTGGGTTCGATCGATCGCACGAATGTGCGTCGCGGCTCACGTGCTCGGAACACGTTGCACGCGACCTCGAGGTCCACCTGTGATCGGCAGCTGACGAGAGAGACGAATTATTACTCTCGGATGAAAATTAACATTTTTTTAAATTTCTCGTTCTACATTCCTTCGATTAAATATAATCGACGGATAGATGAGACTTTCCTGATTAAAAGGAGCCCAAACACAACCGCATTCGGACAACTTTTCTTATTCGCTTCTAAACTCGACGAACACCCGGTATATTGCCCTTGACACAAAATTGTCCGAATATGATCGTGTTTGGGCTCATTCTAAACGAGAAAACCTCACCTATCCACCGTTAATTTTCTCATGAATATGAAACGAAAAATAAGCAAAATTTTTTATTTCAGCCATGGGGCGAAGCAAATCCTCCGAGCCAGAAGAGTCTGCGATGGGCTTCAAGGACAAGCAGAAGGCCTTGGACACTCTGAAGGTCCTCGATGGCCGAGATATCAGTTATCAGTTCCACGTGATCACGAGTTTCGTGAGTCGTACGAAAAGAACACTGCAGATTACCAGGGACGGAGAAAAGTTAGCCAATCTTCGCGAGGCTCTGAAAGTCTTCGAGGATTGGCTGGTGGATTACAGAGAGAATAATCGTAGCAAAGAGAACCTTGCCTACTTGCCAATCGAGACCATAAAAGGCTTCAGGACTCTTGCCAAAAAGTACGACGTCCTGGAGGAAGAGTTCTACAAGTAATTATCAACCAAAACTCTTCTTCCCTCTTTGATTCTATACCGTAACAGTTGCAAACCCGAGTAATCACGGTGAGAACTACTTCGAAAATAAAGTAAAAATCTTTCCCTGATATTCCAGCGTCTACAAGAAAGAGAAAGGGGATTACAAGAGTCTCAGGTCCGTGAAGATCCCCAGCGGAGAAACTACTTGGGACATCGAGAGGAATCGAAGGTTGAAGCAGATCATCGATAAGATCAAACAGGAGCACGTACAATGGTACGAGACCGATATGGGTGACTTCCGGGGACTCCCTACCAGGGAGCACGTCCAGTGTATCATGCTGGGTTACAGTCCGGATCCGTCGAAACTGAAAAAACTCGTGGTCCAAGTCGAGGAAACGTTCGGACTTGAAAATCAAGAGGAGATGGAGGTGACCGAAGAGTCGAAGGACAAGGGCGTGAAGAGAAGGCACAGCAATTCTTCGAGTAGCGATACCGAAAGTGACGAACCGGAGAAGAAGGTCGTGAAACGATCAGCTGATGCAGAAAAGACGGAGAAAGAGGAGAGCGGACTCAGTTTCAAAGATAAGGAGAAAGCTTTGCAGAGTATTAAATCGCTAGACGGAAGGGACGTGAGTTATCAGTATCACGCGATCGCCGGCCTGGTGAAAAGGGCCGAGCGGGTGATATCGTGCACAAAGGACGAGGAAAAGATCAAGAACATGAAAGAGGCCGTCGAAGTGTTGGAGAATTGGATCACGGATTACAACGTGAATGGCAGGTCGAAGGAGAACTTTAATTATTTGACCATTGACTTGGTTAAAGCTTTCAAACCGTTAGCTGAAAGATACAATATCGAGGATAATGGTTTTCTCAAGTAAGTACGCATCTGTTTTTATCGAGGTTAGGTTAGGTTTTATTAACACGCTAAGTGAAACGTATTAAGCGTACTGTAGAAACACTTAACACCTTCAACTCGATTCATTTGTCCGAACAAATGTTCAAATTGAAAAGATGCAACGTGTTAAAGTACGTCTGGCTGGTAAGAATGTATCTTGCAATTTTTCCTTTTGATTTATTCCGAAGAGCATACGAAGAAGTGGATGGAGATTACAAGAAGCTGAGAAGCGTTCAAGTTCCAGACTCGAGTGTCACGTGGGACATAGAGAGGAACAAGAACCTACGTAGTCTAGTGGAAAGCATCAAAGAAAAGAATATTCAGTGGTTCGAGACAGACGACGAACTTCGTGGTTTGCCCACCGTGGAACATACTCGGTGTATAATGTGGGCTTTTAGTCACGATGCTGGCAAACTCAAGAAACTTCTGCCTACGTTGGCTCCATATGTACAAAGGAGTTTAGTTACATTTTTTCTTGTTCAAAGATATCTCTAATAAAGGTAATTTATTTTCAATATTACAAGTGTATTATGTAACTTTTTCGAGGTATCTTTATTTACACGATTACTCACGCTCGACAGGCCGCGCGTGTGGCGCCATCTGACGGACGTACCGGAACGTTTCGTGTGCCGGCTCGCCATCTTTGTTTTCGTCGTGCTCGAGAATTCCAAGATGGCGCGAGCTGTCAAAGATTTTTAACCGCGGCACACTCAATCGATAGTTTTTATTACCGCTGTACGGCTCGCGGGGGTGGGTGAGCCTCGAGTCCGGTTTTGAGGTTAGGGTTAGTGACTCGGTGACACTGGAAAACGGCGGTTACGGGTTCTCTGTCGTGCGTGCGCCGCGACACCGGAAACACGAAATTGTTTCACCCTTTTCGACCAAGTCCAGTGACAAGACGAACGCCCATGCATCTTCGGAAGGTTGACGGATCGTGATAACGCGTAAAGTATCGTGCTATGAAAATACGTTCGCGAGAGAATGGCCCGCTCGTTTGCAGCCGATCTGTTTATACCCTATGCGCCAGCCAAGTCCTCTGGAACAAGGGAATCTACATACTTTAGGCGGTCTAAAAATAGCCGTTGCTTCCACCGAGGTTCGTAGACCTTTGCGTTCTTCGAACGTGATCGCGGAGGCGATCGAGTGTACGGTCTCGCGGAATCGATTGACGAGAGATCGCGATGCAACACGTGACTTAACGATCGACCGTGTCTAATACGTCACGGAATCGTGTATTTCGCGGTGGCAAAACTTTCGAAGGACTCGTGGTCGGCTCGCGGTGTCAGAATTATTCCCCGAAAGATGTATACACCAGGGTAACAGAAGGAATCTGAGACGCGAGTAGCGGTATAGCGTAAGAGACGGCCACCTTTTTCGACGTGACAAAGGCGGTACGTAAGGAAAGATGGACATGAAGCAACTGGGTAGTGCGCGGATAGTTCGTCACAATGGATAAGCGAAAGGTAAAGTGAAGATGTCACAGATCGCGGATGCTGAGAGTGAAGCAGGCTCCATCTGCGACGAGGAACGCGTCAGGAAGCTGTTCCAAGCATGCGACGGCGACGGAGATGGGTTTATCGACAGGTGAGCCACGTCAATTTGCATACGAAATACGCTTTGAGTTTTAAACGGTGAAACATATGGCTTTGGAAAGAACCCTAACGTTTTGACGTACTTTGAAATTTTCCAAAGCGAGCGTATATACGTTTTCTCGACGAAAATGATCATTGGAAGTATCCTGCCCCGCGCGAGAATCTATAGGCAAAGTTGAATAGGAAAGTTCGCCGGGTAACACGGCACGCACATCTTTTAATTATTAGCCCGATTAATTAGCCTGAATACATCGCGATGCCACGAATTAAACCGGGAACGCGTACTGTTTTCTCGCTACCGGCGGATGAATAAACTCGCGAGATAATGCGGCTACGGGATGCACACGCGATCCGCCAGCCACGGTTTTTCATTAAACGTATAACCGTTTCCTCGATATTCAACCGTTTCCCTATTTCTCTCTGTTCCTCTCGTCCTCCGTTCCACCATTCTCCGTTCCTCCGTTGCTCCCGCTGCGACCTACTGTATTCAGTGCTTTTTAGCGAAAATTAGCCGTCAATTACTCTCCGCAGCTACCGAGCCCGCGTTTCGCATTTTTCTCCGCCCCGAAGCGAGCGAGTTTGTGCGTCAAAGCGCGGATCCATGCGCGATCACGACAAAAGGGGGCCCGATGTTGGGTTAGAAACTTCCTTCCAGAAGTTTCGTTTCATTCTCTCTACAATTTCACGCTGCTACGTTCCTGCTTTTGCGAATTAACGTAGGTTGCCACGCGAGAGTGTACGTTTTTAGGAAAGAAATGTAGGCTGCGTACGCTTTGAACGCTGTCCGTATTGAAGCTTCAAAGGGACGTGTTTTCAAAGTGGCGACAATCGTGTCATAGATTAGAGAATAGAGAGCACGTAACAAAATTCTACACGAACGAAGAATAGATTTTTAGTAAAAAAAAAAATTAACGAGTGTATACTTGTACGACGTAAATTGTAAAGTTTATTTTCGCAAATAAATAAATCAGGAAATTTCAAGAATCTTCTGTTTTCACTTAAAACCTAAATAGAACGATTAGTTTATCGTCTCGACGCAAGTGGTGCGTGGCGTGGCGCACGCAAGTGTATAGGCTCTTACGAAAACATCCACGTTGCGGGACTATTGACATTTCGTGCGCCCGGCCAGGCAACTGCTCTCTTGTCCGCGCCCGTTTATGATTTTTTGTTTCCTCCGTGTTTTTCTTCCCCCATGAACCGGCCACTTGTGGGTATACCATTTCGTGTCGTGCATGACACGAAAAATGTTATCGAAGAAGCAGTAAAGTACGAAGAATTCTGCAAGAAACTCACGGAATATGGAAAGAAAAACAGCACGCACTTAGTCAAGAAACAAAGGGCCACTATCGTCGTAACGAGGTTGACGCCATTATGCGTTCTGGCGGGAAACGTCGAGATGTAAATTTTTTCCTACCGCTTCGCGAAAAAAATGGATTTTTAACAGGTACGAACTCAGGCATAAATCCTCGACGATAAAGTTAGCCGTTAGTTTTTGTCGTTCGATCGGGTTGCAAGTTCTCGCTAACATCGTTGCTTTGTAGCTAGCGCGCATTGGTGTCGCGAAAGATTTATCGAGCTTGATCGTATCTGGTTGCAGAAATGATTCTCGGTATGGCTTCGCAACAAGTTCCCCGATTGTTTTTAACCGCCTAGCTATCTCTGGCAATTAAGTATCCACCCCTCTGTTACATCGATTTCTATGGCATCGATAATTATTACCAGAGGGGTTAATCCGTTAAGTAACCATTATTTATCGAACGATCCTCGATCGTTATCGTTGTTGTGCTTTGTGCATTATTATCTGGAATTTATGCCGTTGGATACAAACTCTGCTGCTAAAATACGCGTAGCACAAATGCTTACGCCTCATTTTCTAGAAAATCAAGGTAGCTGTCGATTTTGACAAAGTAGTAGCGTATCGAAATATCGAACGACGCCATCTTACCTCGAAAAATATCGAAATTTACGAAGTTAAACATTTTTACGAGAAATCTAAAGGGCTTTATTTCACATAAGAGTTATTCGTATTTAAAAAATCGTTTATCGGTGTATTACAAAAAGTACGCAATAACAGATAGGGTGGGAAATTTAAAAAAGCACTTGTTTTCAAGCGGTCGTTTTCATATCTTCGCCCATAGGTCAGCTGTTGCCGAGGGGAGGGTCTACGAGAGACTGACTTTAGCCAATTAAACTCTCCGTCGCGAGGATGATATTCGAGCGTTCTCAGGCAATTTCCGTTGTATGCACAGACAGACAGAGCGTTCTGTGCGTCGATAATAAAGGCTTTCTGTAATTCGAGGGGCTCTGGAGCCACTGGTGGAACGGGATGGAAATAGAAGAAGAGGAACGAAGAAAGGGAGAAGAAGAAAAAAAGCAGGAAAGAGCAAGACTGGTAGAAGGAAG